AAACAAAAATGTTTTCTTACTTTGAAACTTATATCTCATATACCAGTTGAGATGATCAGATATTCAAACACACTATAATAGAGTGAAACCTGCAAACTGAAGATGGAGTGGAGGAACCTGTGTAGTTCAGCATTTAGTTTTGGATGTCTTTTTAGAAGTGTAACCATGTCAATCTATTTTGGGAAGAACAATGGCAAATTATACAGCTAAGGTTAGACTAAGGATTAGTAATAAAATGGGCTGGGATGAGAGAACAGTTTATGAACCTTGAACTTATTTGATAAAGCAGAATAGAAATGTATAAAATAAATCAAAGAAGAAATCCTCAAATGTTTAGTCCACAGCTAAAGCATCAGATTAAAAAGTAATTCTTCATAACTCGAATCACTTTTTGAAGCAACTCAGTTAATCGTCACAAGCCAACAGCATCTTTAGAAAAAAAATAGAAAGACAATTATAACAATTCTCTAGAACAGTTAGAAAGCATAATGAATTTCCAACTGAATTAATCATGGTTACCTGAATCATGGATTACTGAATTAATTTAATATGCCAGCAGCATAAATTAATAACACTGGTTATCTTTATACAGTAACCATGCTCAATTATCATATAACACGACCCAGCCAATATGACAAATGTTGAAGAATCGGAACTGCAATAATACAGACTTACAATAATTTTTATCATGCCATTGAAGACTGCCATCTCTGAGTAAGCATCAATGCTGCTCACAGAAACAACAGTCATATTCTCTTGCTTTTCGTTTCAGCAAGTATATTAAGATTACTGAAGTAACATTTACCGTATTTTTTTGCACTATAAGATGCTCCAGACCATAAGATGCACCTAGCTTTTGGAGAGGAAAACAAGAAAAAAAATCTGCCTCTGCCTCCCAGCATCCATTGGTATTCAACTAGCTAGCTGTCCTTGCAGCAAACAGCCTGGTCAGCTTCAGCACATTATTGCAGCTTGATTTAGCACGAGTAGCTGATTGGTGGTTGGATCTGGCTCCTGGAATACCGCCGTTCCAGACTGCAGGGATCATCGCCACCCATTGCTGCTGTTGCTGCCAAACACTGCCTCTATGCATCCTGTTTTCGACCTCTGCACTCCCCATTTTTTTGCCTCTGCATGTCCTGCTTTTGGCTTGCTGTGCCAGAATGGTTTTTTCTTCATCCTGATTGGTTGGGAGTCTTGGTCTGTGTTTATTGGTCTTGGAGTTTACTGTGTTCTGCTTGATTGGTGTTTCTAATATCTTCTATCTGTTTTGTGGATCTTTTTGTGTCTTGATTGGCTGGCAACATTGTGTTCCTTTATTGGAGGCCTTTAGTGCAGCTTGGCTCCGAGTAAATGGACGGCTATCATTTGTTAGGAAGCTAGGTTTCATCTGGGTGCCTGGTTGGGGTATGTTTGAGCTGGAGGTATCGGGGGGATCTGTTTGTGCCCAGGTGTTTGCCTGGCTAGTGGTGTGGAGATTTTAAACTCCCAGACCAATAAACACAGACCAAGACTCCCAACCAATCAGAATGAAGAAAAAACCATTCTGGCACAGCAGTAGGCTGCCCCAAATTTAAAACTGAAACGGCTATGATAGTCTGACTCATAGACGAACACAATACAGAAGCCTGATGATGGCAGATGAGATTCTGCCGAAACGTTGCTACAACTTTAAAAGCACAACTACAATGGCGTGGGAAAATACCCAAACAAAGCTGCATACCATACATGTAAGTACCCGCAAAAACTTAAGCATATATATATATATTAAATAAAATAAAATTTTGAAAAATTTTAAATAAAATAAAATTTTGAAATCATATGTGTGATTTATGATCATATCCTGTATTTTTGCTGAGGGGTGACCCCAAGCATGTGAGTCCAATATGACCAAACAAAACAAAAAGCATGTTTCCAAAACAAAGAAGCATCTAAGTCAGGGATGTTAAATTCCTGGCCTGCAGGTTGGATGCATCACGTGCTGGCCACACCCACACATTTTAGCAAAGGGGGAAAAGTCCCGATACATCACGTGACACCAACGTGATGTGAGTCTGACACCCCTGATCTAAGTCAACATTCTTCAATCCCATTGTGTTTAATTATACCCCAAGCAACCAAATTAAAATTTAATTTTAATAGTTTAAAAAGTATGTCCTAGGTCTCCAACTCGGGCTGCCTACCAGCTGACAAGCTCAATGTCTGCTGAGCCATTGCATCCTCATTTAACTTGTGTTAACAAACATGTTAAAGTGGGTGGCATAATACAATAGATACTGAGCATTTGAATTGTTGATAGGCCTTTGACAAAATATCACATCAATATAGCCAAAAGCACAATTGCTGCCATCGATTGAGATTTATTAAGAAAAATTGGACTACGTTGGAAATTCTCACACTGCTGAGATGAGGGAGTTTTTTCCTATGCTTTGGGAGCATACTCTTTAACTTGCATGTAAATGACCTCAATTGAGGATTTAAAGTGAGGTAGCTATTATGCATTTATACATATCCATCAAGCTACTCATTTTTTAATATACATTTTATGCAAAAAGTACAAGTTAGAGAAATATAGTTGGATCTTAATTAGTATGATTAATGAATCTCACAAAATGGTTGCATTATTCCTATTTGCATTATTCAGTGATATAACGATTAATTCTCAGTGAGGGAAATGGACAATAAAAACTTTTAAACATAACTTTTTGTATGTATATGGAATATTTAAGTAAAGGATAATAAGAATATACTTTTAAATTTGTTAACAAAGTCACAAAGTAGTTATAAAGTAAAATAAAAACCAAAAAACTATACCATGGATCTTTAATATCTTTTGTTGTTTTCTAATGTAAAGAGCCTCTTTTTAAACTTTCTTCTGATGGAATCCTTTTCTATTTTGCATACAGAAAAATTAGCATGTAAAATCCCAATGAAAACTTTACATATGCTAATCTTGGTTGCCAACCCGCTAAAGTCACATTGAACCTGAATTTTTGTTCACTTTGAATACAACCTGGTATCAATGAACAATTCATAGTAAATTGAACATTGCTTTATTAAAATTCACACTAATCATGACCTGCCTGTACTAAGGTGAAGAAATTATAAACATGAGATAATACAATGTATTTCTCATCCTAAATTCCATACATCCATACTCTTTTCACATATTGCCTTTTGTGCCATTCCATTTTAAGTGAGTATACTGTACACCATGCATTAGCTTTAGTAGCTGTCCAGGACATGTTGTTCAAGTGTTGCAGGAAGAGATATACAGAATCTCTTTAGAATGGTGTGTGTGTGTGTGTGTATACACATACATCATTTCAGAGAGATTTTATATATCTCTTCCTGTAACACCATTGAGCAATAGCATTGAGTAATGTATGTGTGTGTGTGTGTGTCTCCTCCATGTTCCTTTTTTAAAGCTACCATAGAAAAACAGAATAAGAATTGATAGGGACCCTGGAGGTCTTCTACTTCAACTCACTACTCAAGCTGGAGATCCCATGCCATTTCGGACAAAGTTGTCTAATCTCTTCCCAAAAATCTGCCATACACAACTTCTGAAATTCCACTAATTGTTCTAAATGTCAGGAATTTTTTTTTCATATTTCTAAGTTGGATTTCCCCTTAATTAGTTGCCATTCTTTGCTTCTTGCCCTTCCTTCAGTTGCTTTGGAGAGTTGGTTGATCCTATTTTCTTTGTGGCAGCCCCTTAAATATTGGAAGATCAATTGTTATTCCTAGTCCTTTTTTAAACTAGAGAAGCCCCATTCACATAACTGTCGATTTTAGCTTCCATTCCTAATTTGTTGCTATTTCTGTAGTCTTTTTAAAAAAATTTTTTTGGTATCATGGCAACCGTATGCAATATTCCAACTGTGATCTTAGCAAGGCATTATAAAGCAGTACTTCATGATCTTGAGTCTATCCCTCTATTGATGCAGCCTAAGACTATTGGCCTTTTTGGTGGCTGCAGCGCACAGCTGGCTCATATTTAAGTGTTGCTCCACTTAGAGACAAAGATTCTAGATATGTTACTGCTCTTCAGTCAGCTACCACTTATTCTATACCTTTACTTTTTAAGTAAGTATAAAGCCTTACTTTTCTATTGAATTTCATTTTTTGATACATCCCAGTGTTCAAGTCTATCAAGATCTTTTTCTATCTTGTAAAGTAATAGCTTTAAATTTCTTATAAAGTAGTAGCTATTACTTTATCTTCTGGAGTGTTGGCTATTCTTACAAGTTGGGTGTCATCTGCAAATTTGTTTAATTCCCCTTCTAACCTATCTAATAATCTATGAAGATGTTGAAGACTAAGAACCTTGAGATACCCCTCTTCCGTTCATGTAGATAGTTTCATTAAGAACTACATATTGAGTGGTTGATCAGCCAGTATGAATCCATCTGTTGGTGATGCTGTTTAACCTACATTTTTCTATTTCACCAAGTAGTAGGTTGAGGTCTACTGTAACAAATACCTTACTAAAGTCCAAGTAAATTATGTCCACATCATTTTGCTAGTCCACTAATTTAGTCACTTTGTCAAAAACTGCAAAAAGATTTGTCTGGCATGATCTGTTTTTGACAAACCCATGTTGGTTTCCGATTATAACTTTGCTTGCCTTTAGGTGTTCAGATTCATTGCTTATCTTTTCCAGGATCTTCCCAGGCATTGATGTCAGGCTGATTGGTCTATGGTTTCGGTCTTTTTCTCTTTTTTGAAGATTGAAACGATGTCAGCTCTTCTCTCTGGTATTTCCTGGTGCTCCAGGATCTTTGAAAGATTGTGTTCAGTGGTTCTGAGATCACGTCTGCCAGCTCCTTCAGAACCCTGGGATGTAATCCATCTAGACCTGTTGATTTTAATTCGTCCAGAGTGGATAAGTATTCTATTACTATTTTCTTGACTATTTTGACTTGTATTTTTAATGTCCTTTACAGTACTGTTTTGATAAATTGAATATGGATATAGAAGAGTTATGGAGGCCACTATATAAATAAAAATTTAATAAACTTTTGACAAAAATATAAGCAGAAACACAAATACTAAACAAAATAGAAATCAGCAAAACACGAAAAAAATTGAAGGGAACCTCAACAGGTATCAGGAAATAGGTTTATTGAAAGGCAATCAACTGACTTCATGTTTAGAGCTCCTGTCTTTTTCACTGTGGTATCATATTTTACAGTAATTCTCAGAAATGAGATGAATTGTAATTATTCCGTTGATTTTAAATCAAAACTTATTATGGTGAACAATAATCCATTCTATTAATCCAGCATGTGCATGGAATCACTGAACTATATTAGAAACCAAATAATCTGACAATTACATCTTACATGACAAGATTCTTTACTGCTCACCCAAACAGAATATAATCAAATAAATGCTATTTGCATGCAGCTGTATTTAAAAATTAATCACACGTTTAGTAACCCTATTTGGAGGATCAAATTGTAAATTTAACAATTGACCATGTGAGAGTCCTCTTTTTTGCAGTTCCATGCCTCAAGTTTGCTATTTACATAAATTTATCAGGCAATCAGTAATTTTATTTGGAATGTATATTGGGATTAGGGCTAATGGCTCCTAAAGAAGTCAAGATTAAGATATCAATAAATTATTAACTTGTAAAGCAGAGGTGTCAAAACACGATGACACGTCATCACATGAAGTGGCAACTTCCCCCCTCCTTTGCTAAACCGGGGATTGGCATGACCACCGTGTGACGCATCCAGCCTGCAAGTTTTGACACCACTGTTATAAAGCATCTGATATACAGTTTAAGGGATTAATTCAGGATTTGATTACTCAACCACATATTTTGGGTACTATAAATGTGATAACCAAGTCTGCATACTAGTCATAAAAAAATTAATTAGTCAATGCACCATGTAAGTGTTTTATGTTCATTTTATTATTTTGCTAATTCTGGTAAACAACTTATAAACATCTATGGGAGAAAACTATAAATTTCATGTTAACTGCCTATAAAAATGGTGTTTTTTGTTTTGCAAAAAAGCAAAACTGTCTCTATCCTTTACTGGGTATTTTCCAAACCAAAATAGCTTTCAAAACCTCTTAACTTCCTGTAGTTTGGTAAAGAAAGCACAAGAATATGAAACTATTTTATTGATAGCTGTTCAGCAGTATATACAATAAAATACAATATGCACTTTCAAATCAAAAACAAAATTTTCACTTGGTCCCCTTTGAACCAATTTGCCACAAATACTAAATAAAATGGTTTTACAGACTATATGACGGGAAAAATGCATGCACATTTTTTTGTATAGAGCTACAAAACACTTGTAAATCTGAATAAGTTGCCATTAAGGATCACTATTAACTACCAAATTTTATAAAACATTTGATGTAATATGCAGAAGGCAGTATCAAATGTTTTCTTGTAATAGACAAAGTGAATAGCACTTTTGCTTTCTTCCTTATGCAAAACATATTAAAGTAACCAAACTTATCTCAATAGGATTTAAGTTTTCCACATGTATTAAGTCAAATATCATACATATATTAAGAAAAAGGGGGAAGGAAAAAATAAAATCCAAACAATTATTGTGCTTCATCCTCTGGGCAAGAATGCCAAGTTAATCGTTCTTCATAAAAAGCAATTACAATCTGAGGACATTTCACATTAGCTTCCTTAGCTAATACCAGGTCAGCTTCATCTGAGTCTTTCCTGTTTTAAGAAAGAATGTCCAATTAATATATTTAAAACTATTTCTAATGTCCATTGAAGACACCCTTGAGTCACATAGCCCTATTTCTGTCCTACTATTAGTCTTTACAATTTATTTATTTAATAAATTTGTACAGCTGCCCATCTCACAAAAAACGATTGGGTGATATACAATAATCCTTCCCCTTTAGCCTTATCATTAGCAGCATTTATGACATTTATAATCCACTATTATCCCTAAGCTTTGGTGATCTTATTACTTTAACTAAGCATATGTATAAATTACATATAAATCATGTATTATAAGTCAGTGATACTATGTGGAACAGCTTTTCATTTTTTTAGTTAGAACTCCCTCTAATCATGGCTCGATTGCATGAAATTAAAAACACCACTTGTTTCTCTGGAGTGCTAATCACAAGTACTAACATTTTGCGAATACTGCAGTTTAAATCTGTGCATTTCTATTTCAAATTTCAGGGAAGCAGATTTGAATGTATAAGAGATGCTTTGAAATGTACAACAGCTCCTATGAAATAAGTATTTAAATAATTAAAAACAGTCATGTCTTTTTATATCAATGCTATAGTCTAAAAAAGATGTTGCCTCAATGATTTCAATTTTTATATATTTCAAAGCATCTGCTTTGATGAAATATCAGCTCTGATATTATTTATATAAATAAGACAATTACAAAAGTTTTAAGAACTCCTACTCTAATCATTCAAAATCTGTTAGTCTGTGATGGCTGAGGTATGGCTGATAGCTAACTTTGACTAGATTCTAAATCAATAGGAGTAAAATGGTAATTTATGAGTGGTTACCAATTTTTAAAGATTTAATGAGAATTAATCACTACACAGGGATGTAATGTGCTCCCCCAAAGTAGAAAGAAATTAGGCTTTTGTTGTGTACATCCAGGTTCTTGTATGCCTTACATAAGAACAAAATAATTTTAATATCTATGGACATATATAGTAATATTACAAGTCAGATTGTTTACCTATGATAAAGTTATAATACGTTTTCTGATTTCTTAAGTAGTATGGTGTAATTTACTAAACACTAAAAAAGAAAAACCAACCTAAAAGTATCCCTTAAATGTTATTGGCTAGTTTGTAGTAACAGAAAAAAATAATATTTCTTAAGTTTAATCAAAGCCACATTGTAAACCAAACATTCTAGTGTACTGCTCACCATTTCATAAGGAACATAAGTTCTCCACTGCTATCTGTGGCTCCAATTATTCGCTCAGGATCAAGACCTCGTGCAAATCCCCTGGGTTTATCAACCTGTTGAAGTAAAGAGAGAATTGTAAATCCTTCCATTATTTTCTGATTTATGGGGGAAAAAAATCAGCACATGATCTATCAATACATTCAGAACAGTATAAAATAGAGCTAGCCTATGGACCACATACATTTCTCAAAAATGACTTGCAATTTGCTGCAGATCCTGCCCCAAGTTTTAAGCATCCTGTTGACCAGCTTTTTATTATTTTCATCTTTTAGAGAAGTTCAATATTACCATTCCCACTATCATTCTAGGACTGAGGTATCCTAGTTTCAAATCCTTTCCCAAGAAATTTTCCAGGAATGAAACGACAGTAAGTTAATGGTAATAAAGTATCTTCAGAGACAGGATTGCTGAAGAAAAAACTGGGAACACGGAGAGGGATCTGGCATATGTGTATGTAAAAGAGGATTAAATTTGTAAAGTAGAAGTGCATTATGCCTGTGACATATAACTGTTAAGAATGATCCATGAAAATTGAGCCTTTAACAAGGAGTTAAGATATAACTATTCCTGGTGTACATGGTCCTCCCTTGCCTTTTCTCTATTCAGATCTGAATGTCTGTTTAATGTTTTCATTAACTTACAGAATCCCTCTTTTTCTTTGATTTGCTGTCCTCAGATTCACTATCTGAAAGGGATTTCCTTTTGGTACCTTCTGTTTTTTCTTTACCAGCTTTCTGAGAATTCAGAAAAGCTTCTATTAACTCTGGACAATCCAAATTTTCTTCAGGCTCCCATGTGTTATCAGCACTAAAAAAACAATTTGGTAAGAATAAAAAGTAAAAATCTGAAGGTCTACAAGTCATAGTTACACATGAAATCCAGATTATCTGCTTAATTCCTAAAACAATTCAGTTGTCAAGACTCTGCTTTCAAAACCCATTTCTGTAGACTGGTTCCTATAATAGCTAAACCAAGTTGAAACTATACTGGATAATTATTTCAGTCAAAATGTATTAACTATGTTATAGAATGTCACATGCAATTCCCAGCCAGCGATTTTGCAGTCAACTATTATTGCTAAAACTTGATAAAGGCAATCTTCCAGATTCTGACACACATATACCATTTTCTGGAAAAAAGTGAAAAACATCTTTTACCTAGAAATCCAGAAAAATAATAATATAGCTTTAACAATATTCCTTCAATTCATTCAAAAATATAAATTGAGGCCATCTGGTTACTAAAATGTTGCTCGACTCATCTACAATCTGAACAATGCAACATATGACATGTGGCCTATAGAATACAATCAAATAACAATCCAAGAGAATTTTTAAAAATTAGTAAACAGGAAAATGAATTCTAGAGTATTTACCACTTGTTTTCTTTTCCTGAAATTGCTGCAGTATATTGTAACCCAATACTGTAAAGCATTTACAATCAACAGAAGGAAAAAGTTAGTCAATTCTTACTATTAACTTTTAAACATTTTTCTGCTGATTTGAGTAATTTTATATGCCATAAATGAGCATTATATTTTGATAGCATGAAGTCATTTTTAAATTTCCAAAACAGAATGGGTCAATACTGATAGTCTGAATATTAACATGCCTAATATATTGCCTGCTTTCTTCCCTACAGTTGAAGAGTATTCCTGGAAGAAATATTAAAGCTTTAACAGTACACACTCGAGAATAAATCCTTTGAACAAAACGATGCTGATTTCTTAGCAAACATGTTTAGGATTGCATTGTACACTGAATACTTGCAGCAGACAGATTATTCATAGGCTATATAACCAAAGCACAATCTAGTGGAAAATGCAGCATTTACCACAACTCTACCAATATTAAGCAGGGAAGCCAATTTTATATTAAAATATCCTGACTATTTTCCATACATCCAGAAGTTCCGAGTACAGTATATGAACTTGACTTTTCTTGAAATTGGTGGTAGCAATCTTTTCACACCGTATCTTTGTAGAATTCTTCAATTTAACACTTACATTGAAAATATTTTAGAAAAAAAATGTATGAAGTTCCTTACTCAGTAAATCCCTTCCATTTTAAGAAGTATTCCACTTTGCCGTTAACTACACGTCGGTCCAAGACTTTTTCCACAACAAATTCTTCAGGTTCTGCTTCTTCAACTTTTTTACCTTTGCCATTCTGTTTCTTTCCCATTTTATGCTATAAAACAAAATTATTTGCACACATATATTTAATACCCCTGCTGTACCTTTATCTCAACCAAGCAAAAACTTCCATACTCTTTTCAGTACGACCTAGATTTATTTTAAACAAGAGCTTTTGAGGTTTGTACATTTCTTATCTATTTCTTATTCCAGCATCCTAAATATTTTATTCAGAATTGCTGTTAGCCGTTCCATTTTTATGGCTTGTTTAAAAAAAACTTGTTAAACAGAAGGCAAACCAAACAAATTTGGGGTTAATACTAGAAAGAGAAGTTCCTAGAGGTAGCATCCATAGATTGCCGTGCTAATAGCAATCATCAGCAGTTAAAAGTAATTTTGAAGCTTTCAATTGCTAGGTATGAAACATTTATCTTATAATTACATACATGCATCATTTTAACTTTCATTAGACATTGGATATATATTCAAGAGCAATTCTTAACAGAATTTGATTGAAACCTCTTGACTGACACAAACACCTTTTGTAAATTAAATTCCATAGAAAAGCTTTTAGCAGTCAATTATTATTAGATATCAAATTATTACATCCACATCATCCTCAAGCATTCCAACTTCAATAAACACAATTCAGCAAGATGTTATTGTCTGTAATTTGTCTAAAATCAGTTTATTATTGTAATGTTAGAAGTAGTTGAAGTTCTATTAGAAACAAATCAGAGCCTGGACACAACTTTGGATTCAAACCATAATGGATAGTTCAAAACAGATAATACAGTGACAGTATAGGGACCATACTACACCTCACAAATATATGAGAAAAACCAGATTACGAGAAACAATGCAAAGGTCCCCCAATTTCAAGTTTCATTAATTTCAATATAGAGCCGTAATCTTTTCTCTAGAGCTGTTTTCTTATGACATCTTTTGAAAATGAAGATTATCAAAATGTTTTGAAATCAATGATAGCGTCTTTAGATTCTGAGCAACTTTAATAAAGGCTAATACTAAATACTTCACTCACTAATACTAACAAAATATGTATGAGTGATCAACATTTCTAAATAAATATAAATGAAAAAAAGGTGATTGTTGCTTTGATGGGATGGCATTACAATTTTGAAAAAATTGGAATATATTTTTTATCAAAGTTACTTAAAATCTTGGGTATACCACAAAAAAATTCAAAAGTTAAAACATACAAATGGCATTTTACTATATTTTCCCATTCCCCCTCTCTCTACATAACTATATTCCCACTCCAAAACCAGTTATTGCCAGCCATATTTTAGAATTCATTTTTATGTATAGTTATGCAATTTTAATTCTATATTTATTCAAATCTATCGAATTAAACTTGTGTCAAACTGACTTTCAGTATTTGCACTCTTGGCAAAGATTTAGAGGCAACATTAGTGCTCTCTTTTCTAGACTAGGATAATATACAAAAGAATAGGCAGTTTCTATTCTTCATTCCAAAATACAATCCTATTTTCATTTAGTTGATATACCAAAAAATAAAATATACAGGATTACTAATAAAATAATCCTATTTTCTAAGTACATACAAAACGTGAGGTGTACATCATAAGTTTTGTGGAAAATACCATATTTTTCGTTGTATAAGGTTGGAAAGAAATGTCTGTGCATCGTATACAGTGAATGTTGCCGAAGCCCCGCCTACCCACCAGCCCTCACCCTTCAGCCTCTGCCTCCCAGTAATTTTTCTCCTTGCAGCAGCCTGGTCAGCTTCAGCACACCCTGATTAGCACAAGCAGCTGATTGTCGGTAGGATTGGCCTCTGATGGGGCTGAAAATGGTGGGCACGGAGGTGGCAATTGGCAATGGGATCCCTACAGCCTGAAACAGCTGATCTTCAGGAGGCCAATCCAATCGTGCTAATTGTGCTAATCAGGCAGTGCTGAAGCTGACCAGGCTATTTGCTGTTAGGACGTATTCTGAAATAGATTTTGAAATGACTAGACTTGCTTGTCAAGGAATGACTACAATGGACCTCGCTTTATCTTCCTATTTCAAACTCTCCCACCCAATAAACCACAATAATTCATGAAGAATTAACTGCAGTCCCATTTATATTCTTGTGGAATTAAAGCCCTTCAAATAAAAGGAAATTCATACTGGAACAAATTCTAAGAATCAGCTAATAGTTGGGTCCTTGCTCGGTTTTTTTCTTGCAGACATTTCATTACCCAGACTAGGTAATATCATTAGTGACAGTAAGTAGTACAGTTTGTTCGGTTTAGTGGACAGGCTAATGGACATAGACAGCTTGCCAGAATGCCAAACCAGCCAAAAGTAAAGAGCGCAACCAAAGAGAGCAATCCTGTCTATGTTGGTGAGGGGGTGGGTCTTAGACACTCTCTAGTTGGGCTATTTACTGTTGGCTGGTTTGGCAGTTCCTTGATTAGAGTATAATTTACTTGATTTATTGTCTGTTGTTAATCTTGGGAGTTAATCCATGCTCATCTGCGTGCTGATTGCTGGTGGGAAGATGTTTTGGTCTTTTTGTTCCCTTTTTGGTTTGTTGATTGGCTCTTTTGCATAATATAGATACTGCTTATGTGCTTATTGATGGCTAATTTGTCAGAGCGCCAGGCTTCTAGAAATTTCCTAATGTTTTTGGACTTTGCTTGGTCTAGAATGGTCAATTTCCAAGTTGAACCTATGGTTAAGTCTATCCATATATTGTGAAATTAAGGGGTTTTAATTATGTCTTCTGTCTGTTAGTTGATGTTCATGGATGCATTCTGCCAGTTTTCTGCCTGTTTCTCCTATGTAATGGCTATTGCAGCCATTACACTCTGTTGTAGTTGATTCTTGTTTTTTTATTCTGGGGCTGCTGTGTCTTTTAGTTTAGTTGGGATGTTTGAAGGGCTTGAGTTGGCTTGTGTGCTACACTGATCCACGGAGTTGTAGTAGTCAGTGGTTTCTGAGATATTCTTGATGTATGGCAATATTATTATTTTTTAGGCTTATGTTCCTTCTGCTGTATTGGTTTAAGTGTCAGGCACTTTTTGATCAAAGGAACAGTTTTAACTGTGACCATCCTAAACCAAGCCAAGTTCAAAAATGCTAGGGAATTTCTATGCAAAAGAGACAACCAGACAACCAAAAAGGGAACAAAGGAAAACACGTCCCCACTGGCAATCAGTTAATCAGGAATATTAACTTCAAGGTTAACACCAGAAAAACAATCAAATAAACAGTATCCCAATCAAGGAACTGCCAAAGAAGCCAACAGTAAACAGCCCAACCAAAGTACTAGAATTTAAACTGAGAGCAAACCTTACTCCTTCACTAGTAGTGATGTTACTTAATTTAGGTAATGAAATGTCTGCAAGAGAACACCCAAGTCAAAGTGCACCAAAGACCCCTCATTTCAATCCTGAGCTACATATATTCTCCTTTATCAGCTAATAGACCTTGCCCATTGATTCTCGCCATTAGTGATGCTCACTGTTCTAATATATCATTTATAGCCTTTATAATAACTTACACAACTCAGCAGGTAATCATGCTTGGCTGATCTTATTTCGGCTTAGAAACTAAGCGGAATCAGCCCTTAATACTTGAATGGGAAGCCTCTTGAGCTGTTGGCTAAATTGGGAGGTCAAAAAATATCCAAGAGAAAAGGGGAAAACCACTTCTGTCCTCTTGGAAAGAAAACTGCATGGACATTCCACTAAGTTATCAACAGAACTTGAATTGAGATTTCACCTGGGATTTACACAATTTTTGCTTTTCAATATAAGAAAAGCAAATTAGATATACAATCACACTACTGAAACTATTCCCTAATAAACCTGGATTATACACTTTCTCATGCTTTATTTTTAGTTATGCTGTGGAGGAGACATGTGGATGTATTTTTTTTGCATAGAGATGCCAAAAATAAATCTGAAGAAATATGATGGTAAAATCCTTACATATTTTAGGTGGTCAAGAACTTACCAATGTTGATTTATTGGTAGCCATTTTTATTGAAGACTTGCTGAACTTTTACTAGAAAAATGTACGACAAAAGGAATATTGTATTATGTAAAGGAAGACATCTCAATATAAATATAATTCTTTTTCTATTCAGACTAGTTACTTAAATACACAATTAACAAAGGCTGAAGTTGTGTTTCCATTATCCTAGTCATTATTTGGAGTTTGCTAAGACCTACCTTGGCTTTTCACGACCTTGTATATATCATATATGCTAATCTACTACTGAATACAAGTTTATAGGAAAACCTTATTTTCAAAACTGTAAGACAATGTGCTACACTAAAATATATTTTCAAGGGTAAGATGCAACATTGTAGAACGCTGATTTTATTTAAATATTGAATAATAATCATTGAAAGGATTTTATAGCTCCATAATATAGAATGGTGCATCATAAATATGGTAATCATAATACAATTTTAACTTAATATATAAGCCATTGGACGTCCGCAGCACCTCTAACTTCTTTATAATTTAAAATTCGGAGTGATTTTTTTTTTGCAAACCTATAAAGAACATTGAGATTCAGCAAAGTGGGGAAAAAAACCCAAGACGCAAAGCCTGGTGTCTCCCAGAGGCTATTATTGCACGGTCGTTTTAGGTCACTGAGATTCTGCCACCGTGTTTTTCTCTTTAGAATAAATGGACGCCTGATTAAGAGACGCCTGCCGTAAAGGAAAACTGTAAAGGGCGCCCTTAAGCACGAGGCACGCAAGCTAAGACCGGTGGGAAGGAAATGATCCCGGATGAGAATCCCACAAGCCAGGATGTTGGGTCCAGAAGAGGTGGAAAACACCAAACCACCTTGGATCCTTCAGGGCGACTCCCTGGCATTACCCCACTTCGATAAGCTGCGAAAACGCCTCATGCGTCGCCCCACCACCGCAGCCTTTTGAAATGCTAAAAGCCTCGGCGGTTAATCCTTTTTGAAAATTTTAAGTCCACGCCTCCAAGTCCTGCTTTGCCCGCGGCCTGGACCTGGCTGACACGCAGGAAAACGTGGGGGAGGGAAAAGCTCTGCGCTCGCTCGTGTGATGATGGTGCCTTGTTGGTTTCAGAGGTGTTTGCACTTCAGCGGTAAAAAATAAAATAAAATAAAATACCGCGCGGGTTGCCAGTCTCGGAGCTCGACCGCTCCGTCCCCGCTAGTAGGAAACCGTCGAGCAGGGGGAAGGCCCGTCAAGAAGTCGAAAGGGCCGCACTGGGAAACCCCGCGCCTCTTTTCAAGCTTGTCAATGCGCCCGGGAGAGGGAGCCGCGAGAGAGAAAATGGAGGAGAGCAAAACGAGGCCACGCCTGGGCATTTCTCAGGAGTTACATAAACTGTAAGCTCGGCACGACACAGACACACACACACACAAACATGCAAATACAGAGATCCCCCACCAGTTCTCTGCTACGTTACTATTTATCACCGAATTAGGAAAGACTTGAAGAGGGGGAAAAGGAGGGAGGAAAAGATACGGACTTCAATGGTGCCCAACGTCTCCGGTCCCCTGTAGTCTCCTGGCTCCTGGCGCGCTCTGAGGCAGCAGCGACATAAGAGGGGGCGGGGAGAAGGGGGTGGGAGGGCGGCAGAGGCAGCCCCGCCCGGAGCGGCTGCTAGTGCTGCGGCAACCTGGTCAGAGGGCGGGGCGGCGCAGCAAACGCCACCCTCTTTCGTTCCCGCCCTTCGTTGCGTCGCCAGCAGAGTCGTTGGCCGATCGGCGCACTCTTCTTGCCGCCGCCGTTGCGTACGCCGCGCCCAACCGAGTAGGTCGTCGGACAGAGGCGAGCCGGTAGGGTCGCTTCAGCAGCTGCAACGGCCAGAGACGAAAAACGTTTGCGTACTCCTTTACTTCCTTTTATTAATTGCCGGCCGAAATGCCTCGTGGAGATCGGGAGAGCGATTGGGTGAGTGAGGTAACGGACGGCGTGGTTTAGTAATGGCCGACTTCCCCCCCCCCCCCCAACATTCATTGTGCCCTTAACGGGTTCTTTCGCGGGCAGTGGGCGGGTAAGTCTTCCAAAGCCAGGAGGAAGAGAAAATGGCGGGCGAGGGGCGAAGGAGGAGGGGGGCTATATTCGATTCTCAACGCTTTTAAAAGCGGCGCGGAAGATTGTGGAGGGAGGCAGGCGAAGCCATGAGTGTTTAATGGCGGCCTGTTGCACGCTTGCTTTAATGTTTCCCTCAGGCGCTTATCTGGCCGCCAGATACAATAAAATGCAAAACACGGAAACAATGGACGGGCGGCTTTTTTCTCTAGTATATTTAGATGTTAAAAAAAATTCATTTATACGTTTACCGTCGATTAGCAAAAAAGGTTAAAGGGAAAGATGGAGTCTTCATTATCCTTAACATTTTGGCGCGATTATTGTTCTCCAATCGTCTGAGGCAATTTACGGGGAAAAATTGGCGATATGCTTTCGTTGCTTTTGGGTTTTCGGGAAATTATTGAAAAGGGTCCAGATGATGAATAATAATTTATTTTCACTGATTTTTCGGCTGTGCTCGAAAGCAGCCGATTGCATCCGGTTGCGAATTCTTGATGACGAGGCAATTTTTATTAATGCATTTTTGATATATTTAATTATACTACATGTTTTTATTGTATATAAATATACGCAAACAATACACTGAAGTAATTTGTATCTGCTTCATAACACTATTGTTTCCATGCATACTATCGGTCTGACGAATATGCATTTATTCAAAATTATATACACGACAAGGTTTCACGTGGTTATAGCCCTAAAATAGGGTTCTGTGAATATTTAAATACGCAGGAGTTAAGGCCGCCATTAGTGATGGAATCGTATTCTGAAACGGCATTACGCGAAACGTGTAGCTGATACAATGTGGAAATAAAGTTCGTAGGGTTGTTACGGAAACGGCTATTTGGATGGCGCGTTGGAGCCTGTTAGGGTACTAAATGCGGCACAATACGCCATTAGCGTAGGATCTAGAGATGACGCATAACTTGTTCGTTGGAACACTTGGTGGCGCAATTGGCGGGACTTGGTGTCTTACAAGGAAGACGTTAATGGAGAGGAAGGTTCTGGAAGGGCCGACGGCCGTTGAGAAAAGGAGGGAACAATTATGGCGAATTCGTTTTTTTAAATTCGATAGAGAGATGGAGTAATATTTTGTTCTACAAACGATGACGGCAGGACAAGGGACTTGGAAGTTCTAAATGAACGCATCTAGGGCGAAAGCGCAACTTTGATACCTCTTTAATACAGTACTACAAAGGAAGGGCTGTGCGCATGCGCAGAAGAGAATAAAGTACTCGTTCTCCTGGGAACGAGTCTCCTCCCCTCCCTCGGTGTTCGTCGGCGCCATTTTCTCTTACAGTCCGCTGAGGACCTCTGGTTGTCGGAACCGTCACATGGCGGAGCCATCTTCAGTTGGGAGGTCTCAAAGTTAACCGCTTCACAGGCCAACCCTACTTTTTTCAAATGGTTTCTTGTCGTTTTAGAATCACACTCAGGACTGTAGCCGGATAAATCGGTATCTACAAATTTAACATTTTAATGTCTGCTTAAGCAGGGAGTAGCATATTAATTTACGCATGATATTTAGTATCCATGTTTTAGTCTAGAAAATTATGCAATGGAATAACATTGTGAGAGTTGTTAGTCTATACTACAAATTCAGAAATCTAATTGTACTTTTTCTATCACTATAGACTCTAGTGATAGAAAAAGTACAATTAGATTTCTGAATTTTTAACTAGTAATGTTTAGTAAAACGCATAAGCTTTGTGTTTTTTATATTTGTTGGAAACATTGTTATGACAACCCTTTGATAAGAATAGTATATGCTGACATCTGAAACTTATTATTTTTGAAACATGTAGAACAAAATCTCCATTCAAAAGTTTCTAGTATGACTTCCTGTTTGATTAGAGAATGGATAATATTCTGCAACAGTTCCTTTGAATCCTTTTTCTGTTAGAATTAATGATAGTGCAAAAACAATATGGCTGAAAAGAACAGCTTAGAATATCTGTTTTAAAACAGAATTGTATTGTCTTTATTTGATTACTTACAATTCATTTTCTGAAGTGGAGGACTAACCAGTTTTCCACATCATCTTGATTACATATATAAGCAGATGCTTTAAAATTTTAGATAATAATGCCACTTAAATTTTATTCTTCGAAAATGTGATGTTAATATTCCAAATGTCAGGTTTTTTTAACTTATCTGTTAGCTACATTGTTGTTTTATTTAACCCTGTTAGTCAGAAGGGCCTACTCACACATTTTTATTCAAATATCCGTCACAAAGACCAACATTTCTCTGCCAAACCTCAAGACATTTGAATTAATAAGTTTCCTTTCAAATTAGTTACATGTTTTGGGAAGGTGATTTGGTAGATTAATAATGGCACCTTGCGATTCAAAAGTGTATAGCAAAACCAACATTAATATTAAACATATGAATATGTAGGAATTGCATTTTTTAAAATTCATTTTACTGTAACCTTTTCATAAAATGTAGGGTGTGTGTGTGTGTGTGTTACACACATGCACAACCTAAGTTTATCTTCACTAAACACCCAAGATGTAGACTATCATATAGTTTAGTTATATTGTTCAACATTTTTTTAAAAAAAAGCTAATACAGTGTATTGTGAAAGGTGTAAAACTTTGAGGTTTTTTTTTTAATCAGAGGGAAAAGGAGCAGTTCCGCAAACTATTCATTGGCGGCTTAAGCTTTGAAACAACAGAAGAAAGCTTGAGAAACTACTACGAGCAATGGGGAAAATTAACAGATTGTGTGGTAAGTTTTCTTTGTGTGGTTTTTTTTTTCTTTTGATTACTTGATTTAGGTTGTCTAGTCCTGTGGTTTGTAGGATAACAATTTCTATTTCTGCCATGTTTTGAAAATGAAGAGGATGGTAAACCAAAATAACGGTTGGTGGTTATTTTAGTATTGTGATCCCATATAGTGATTTACGAATCATGTTTTCTTTGGAGTCTGTCCACATTAAATTAAATAACTCTTAATAATTTTGGGGTTATATGCTGATGGTAGAGCACACAAAAAGCTGCATAGTATCTCCTAGATTTAGTTTAATAGTTCTGAAGAAATGTGGCTAATTAATCAAATAATATTGAGTTACTGGATAGTGTAACATTTTAATTTAGAGTAAAGTCCTTGAGATGTAAACTGCATGGATATGTCAAGGCTATGATAGCACAGAAATTCAGGGCTAATACTCTCCAATTTTCCCCACAAATACAGCCTTGCAAGATAAGTTGGCTAGAGAGGGTGACTCTGGCCCAAGATCACCCCAGTTGGTTTTTCCTGAATTTCTTTTGAGAACCATGCTTATACCCAACATTCATGTAGGCCTTTAGCACAGTTATTGAATTTACTGTTGCCTATTAGTGTAACTGTCTGATACTTTTGCCCCTATAACTTAATTAAATATGGACTTTAATATAAATTTCCGAGTACCGTATATACTCGAGTATAAGTCGACCTGAATATAAGCCGAGGCACCTAATTTTGCCACAAAAAACTGGGAAAACTTACTGACTCGAGTATAAGCCGAGTTGTTCAGCACATTTTTTGTGCTGAAAAAAAAAAAACCCATGGCTTATACTCGAGGTTCCCTCTGAAAGAAAAATGGTGTGGAGCTCCGGAGCTGGGCAGCTGCTTCCGTGTTTCCTTTGCAACTTGTAAGTAGGGGGGAAATCGGAAGCAGAAAAGTTCTTGCATGAGGATATACTGTTTTTTCTTTATTTAACTGTTTTTTTTGGGGGGGAGACCTACCGTCACGTGAGAATGCTCAGACACGAAATCTACCCACCTGAAAATAAGTGTGTGTGGGGGGATTTTAACAGAGGGAAGACATAGGGAGAAAGCAAAAGCGACGGAATTCAGGGGAAACTGAGGGGGAGACTCATCCTTGGTCCAGATGAGCCCCCTTCCCCGCTCCTAAGGAAGCAGAGGCAGCCAGCAAGAGCAGGCAAACCCCGCTTCGCGGACTCCGTCCGTCCTCACTCCCACCCACCCACCCAAAGCCACGAAGTCCCCCAATGGCGCAGCCCAGAATTGCCCTCCCCTCAGGGGGCAGCAACGACGCCCAGTGTTTCCTGAAACAAGAAGCTCCGCCGTGCAATGAAAG